CTGAAGGCTCTGGCTCCTGTTCTACTTTTAGAGACTATAGGAACCACAAGTAGCCCTGCATTCAGAGAACGCAGTGTTCTAGAGGGGTAATAGGGTGCTATGAGCTCTTTAAGATATGAAGGGGCCTGACCATGAAGAGCATTGTAGATAAGGAGGAGGATTTTAAATTCTATTGTTATTTTTACAGGGCGCCAGTGCAGAGAAGCGAATACAGGAGAAATATGATCTCTTTTCCTAGTTCCTGTCAGTACTCGTGCTGCAGCGTTCTGGATCAATTGTACTGTCTTAATGGACTCATTAGGCCAGCCTGATAATCAGAAGTTGCAGTAATCCAACCTGAATAAACAAATGCATGGATTAGTTTTTCTGCATTTGTCTGTGACAGGATGTGCTGGATTTTTGTAATGTTATGTAAGGGAAAAAGGCAGTCCGACAGGTTTGCTTTATGTGTGAGTTACAGGACATATCCTGATCAAAGATAACACCAAGATTCCTGACAGTAGTGGCGGAGGCCAAGGTAATACCATCTAGAGTACAAATATCTTTAGATAATGAGTTTGGGAGGTGTTTGAGGCCAAGTACAAGAACTTCAGTTTTGTCTGACTTTAACATCTGAAAGTTGCAGGACATCCAGGGTTTTATGTCCTTAAGGCATGTTTGTAATTTAGCTAAGTGATTAATTTTATCAGGCTTGATCAATAGATATAATAGATATAATTGGGTATAATCTGCATAACAATGAAAGTTAATGGAGTGATTCCTATTAATGTTGCCTAAAGGAAGCATAAGGTGGATAGAATTAGTCCAAGCACAGAACATTGTTGAACTAACTTTAGTGTTTCAATAACATGTACAAACTGATACAGTTGATCTGATAAATAGGAGGACTTAAACCAGTTTAGTGCGGTTCCTTTAATGCCAATGGAGTCAAATGCCGCACTAAGATCTAACAAGACGAGTACAGAGAAAAATCCATTGTCTGATGCAGTTAAAAGGTCATTAGTAACTTTCACCAGTTCTGTCTCTGTGCTGAGATGTACTCTAAGTCCTTACTGAAAATCAGGATAATAGGAAAATAGAGTGGGCTTTTAAAGAAGAGGTTTAATTACAGCTATTTTAATAGAAGGTGGACCATATCCTGATAATAAAGACAGATTGATCATATCTAATAAAGAAGTGCTAACTAAGGGCAATACTTCTTTAAGCAGCCTAGTGTCTCTAATAGTGATAATTGTATCATTAAAGAAGCTCATGAATTTATTGCTACTGAGGGATATAGGAATACATGGCTTAATGGAGCTTAGCGTAGGTTTAAAACCTTCTCATTAAGCCTCATCCATTCCACTCAGATAATAAAATGAAGGTGAATAGTATTAAGAAGTATTAGTAGCATTAAACACCCATAATATAAAATATCCTGGTTACTCAGACTAATCCATAAACATTAAAATGGGCAATTTCCATTTTACACATTCGAACTTGAACAGTTTGAATTTCTTCCTAGAATACCAAAGTTTATTCTCATTCACAGTAAAGTTCCTTTGAGTTGCACATGATAAGTGCAGTGCACGTCAATCTCATGTTGGCAGGGATGGTTAAAGTTGCTGTGTGTTTCTGTCGAAGCCATGCAGTTCCAGAAAAGAGCTCAGTATCAAGAAGTTATTACACAATAATGACACATGAATATCACCTCCGCATGACAGCTGATTCTTGTGGCCTGTCTCAGACAAAAGATACACAGATACAATTTATTCGTGCATATCTTGAGTCATTTGGTTAGTACAAGCATTGGCATACATAATATTTAGTGGGTTATCCTGTTTTAATAAGATATTAAACAAATATATTATATAGTAAAATAATCTACCACACAGTATATGATTCATCCATTAACTCATCGATCACAAGTATCTAATGTCTTAGACCTTATGGTCTAATGCTAAAAGAATAAAACTATTACAATAATTATGCAGACAACATACAGATTCATATAACAATATCCCCATCACCATCATCAATAGTTAGTCCATTAAAAATGGCAATAAAAGCCCAATATATATATACTTGTAATGGCGATCTTATCTTGATTCTATTTGACTCAAAATGTGTTTTATTATAATTCATTTTAGCCTACATAACTGAATAGTTTATCTGTTTTTAATTTTAATTTGCTGCCTTTCCTCTTTACAAAACTGTTTCAATTCAGCAATATTCTTGGGATGTCCGATGCGAACCGCTCTCTTGAGGTCATGCCACAGCATCTCAATTGGGTTGAGGTCAGGACTCTGACTGGGCCACTGCAGGAGGCGTATTTTCTTCTGTTGAAAACATTTTGTTGTTGATTTACTTCTGTGCTTTGGATCGTTGTCCTGTTGCATCACCAATCTTCTGTTGAGCTTCAATTCGGTTTCATCTGGAACATCCAGGTGCTCTTTTGCAAACTTCAAATGTGCAGCAAGGTTTTTTTTGGACAGCAGTGGCTTCCTCTGGGGTGTCCTCCCATGAACTCCATTCTTGTTTAACGTTTTACGTATCGTAGATTCGTCAACAGAGATGTTAGCATGTGCCAGAGATTTGTGTGAGTCTTTAGCTGATACTCTAGGATTCTTCTTTACCTCTATATATGATAGGCCCTACTCTGCTTAGCTTTTCTATGGTGATTTGTTGAAGAAGGGCTCTTTTATAACAGACAGTTCAAGATTTACACTATCTTGCTCTATGAATATCCACCTGAGGTTAAATTTGAACACTAACATCACGATACCGTACAGCTTAGATATATCCTGTCTAAGAAAAAGTGTCAAAAAGACTGTAAGGACGACACTTACGGGTTGTGAATATCGCACCTAATCAAATTAGGACGACACTTACGGGTTGTGAATTCCACCTCATTACTACTGTCACTGAAGCGGTTGCTCCAGTTTGTGAAGCTTTTCACGCTAACCACATACGTTGTACTTGGCTCCAAGTGTCGACCAAGTATTTCATGGTAGTTAAAACCATCAACTGTAGTTCGTGGGACCTTTTCAGATACCTGAAAATGAGAAACAATAGTTATAAAGGAGGCTTTGGCAATCAACCTCACGTGATCAAATGCCCATGTCTGTCTACACCTGCAGGACAAATGATCTCAGTGTTAAACAGTGCCTATGATGTTGCTCTTACCATTTCTGTGTCTCCTTTCTTATGATAAGTCACATTGGCTGTCAATTTCTCATTGAAATAGCCTTCTATGTTTGTCCTCCACATGACTCGAAAATTCCCATAGGATTCTTTCACTGACGTGATTGTCGGGGTTTTGGGCTTTACTATAGAAGAAAGAAAGAAAGAAAGAAAGAAAGAAAGAAGTAAGGGGAATGTTTCTCTGCCTCCCTCCTGTTCCGTCACAGTGTTATTCTGGGTCTGATTTAAATACTTTCATTCAGAAGAAGTCAACTTACTGCTGTCAATGATGTTGATGATTTTGGACCCCATGCTTTCACCTCCTTTCCAAAGTGTTGCATTATGAGAACAGCCATAAATAATTAACATTTGGAGAGAGCAACAACACTGGCCACTGTCACACTGCTTGAAAGTGCACCTCACCTCCATGCTGCTGTTGAATACAAGATAACACACAGCTTACTCTCAATAAATTACAAATGTACAATTCTGGCTTCTCAGGCTGATTTAGTAGACTTTTTAAATATTACTAAATCTACACTATTTTGGTGAACTTCATCATTGTATAACTCTATTTAATTACTCAACCAAAACATATAAACAAACAATATTAACAACAAACAATAAAAACTACTCACTCGGTGTCCAGGACAGTTAAATGGTACTCAGTGCAGTTTTGCGCTTCAAACTGGCAAAACATCAACTTGTCGAAGTCGTTGGTACATTCAAGATTTTGGCTTACTGTATTATTGGAACCTGCTTGAAACAGACGCATACACAAGGACAGTTGTCATGAGAATGAGATATTGCATGGTTAGACTGTTTAAAAGCTGTCTACATGTCCATCACGTACCAGAGAGTGTTACTGCAGTCGCAATGTGTCCTAGAATAAGCAGCAAACACACCCTGTCGCCAACTCGCCTGGAAAAAAAACAAACACATTCCAGATATTTACTTTACTTTAAAGCCACAAGTTGGATGATTTAAGCGATACAGTTACAGAAAGAAAGATTACCTCTTTAACTCCATCCTGAAACGATGTATTGCACGCACTTTCTTCGAAAACAACTACTGAACTCAGCTACGTGCTATTCTGTGGGAAAGTGAACTCACACTTCCTGATATGGAAAGCTCTTACTGGATATGTTGCGAAACCCCTTCAGAGGAAGTGCGTCCCATTTCCATTTCGTCGAGAGAATGCAACATACGCACTTCTGCTGGTAACACTGAGTAAAATACTGTGGGACAAATACCAACAAAATACGAATGACTTATGAATTTATGCTAATGTGGCTATTATATAGCTTAAAGTGGTGGATTCATCCATATGTAAATGTGCACTTACCTAACTGAACGCTATCTATTGCCATTGGCACTACTGTGCAGTGGGAACCGTAAATGGCACACTGGCTTTCCTCTGCAGCTTTACAACATATAGGGAAGATTATTTTGAAATTCCCTGACCGGATGTACACAATACTCTCTCATGTCTGACCAGTGCAGCTGTTTAGTTCTTACCTGATCCACGAAGCACATTTTTAACTTTTATTCTATTTTGCATGTATTTTCGTTTATATTCAGGTGTGGTTTATCTAATGAATGTCTAAGTGTACCGCTATGTTTGCTTATTCGTTGTTTTTGTGTTCATGTGGTTCCTCGTTTTCTTGTGGGACAGGAAAAGAGAACAATTAACAATTAATAGATTCAAAAAATAAATATCTTTGTCATGATATTATGTTATTACCTGAAAAAAAAAATAAACTTGGAAAACGGCGGCAGTTTTCAGTGGAACTTTCAGAAGTTCAGAATTGGTAGTACAAAACAAACACATATAAGTCATGTAGACATCCCAGTGTCTCAATAAACATGTGCAATAATAATGTTTGTTTTGTTGACAAATTTGACAAAATTGAGAAAGACTAAAAGTGAAGAAATTTCCTGTATATTTTGTTATTTCATTTTAGTAATATTGCTTCATTTTTTTTTTTTTTTTTGCTTTATTCTAAATTCTACTTTTTCTATTTATTTCAGTTAATTAAATGGTTTTTAACTAGTTTTAGTTTTTAGTTTAGTTTGAGTAAACTATAATATCTTTAGTTCACATGGAACAATTATGAGTGAACTTCATTATGCAAGAACATCTTTATGTGTGTGCCTCCTGTTTAACTGGAACAAGTCAAATGCAGAAGAGTTAAATTTCACAACACGCCTCTGACACACCTATTTGACAGAGACACAGAGATACACAGAAGAAATGACTACTACTAATAATAATCATGATGATGACAACAATGGCATTAATAGCCATAATAATGATGAATGATGAGTAAATGCTGTATATACTGTGAAAATGACAATAAAAAGACTTTATCTCTATCTTTATCTAACTATAAGCTTTTTTTATAGAGCTTCATTAAATAGGAACGTCTTAACCTACTCCCTTAAATGTGAGAGGTGTCTGCCTCCCCAACCCCCCAACCTGGAAGCTGTTCCCACCAGGAGAGGACCTTGGTAACTGAAGGCTCTCTCCGCGCTCTCTCGTTCTCTTTTAGAAGCCCCCACTATAGAACCCACAAGTCAGCCCTGCACTCAGAGACGCAGTGTTTCTTATGAGGGGTATAGGTGCCTTTATGAGGCTCTGTTAAAAGATATGAAAAGGGCCTGACATGAAGAAAGGCATTTGTAAGATAAGAGGAAGGATTTTAAATTCTATTGTTTTTATTTTAAGGGCGCCGTTTGGGCAGAAAAGAAGGGCGAAATACAGGAGAAAATAATGATGCTCTTTTTTTCCTAAAGTTTCCTGTCCAGTACTGTGCTGCAGCGTTCTTTGGATTCAAATTGTAAACTGTCTTTAAAGGAACTCATTAGCCAGGCCTGAATAAATCCAGAATTTGGCCAGTAATCAACGCTGGAAAAATTAAACAAATTGCAATGGATTAGTTTTTTTTCTGGCCATTTGTTCTTTGAAGACAGATGTGCTGGATTTTTTGTAATTGTTTATGTAAAGGGAAAAAAGCAGTCCAAGAGGCTTAATGTTGTTGAAAGTTACAGGGAATATCCTGGAATTCAAAGATAAACCAAGATTGCGCTGAACAGTTTAGGTGGCGGAGGCGCAGGGTAATACGCATCTAGAGTAAAACAATTATTTTTTAGATAATAGTTGGAGGTGGGTGAGGGCCAAGTTAACAAGAAAACTTCAGTGGTTCTGACTTAAACATGAAAGTGGCCAGGGCAATCCCAGGGGTTTATGTCCTAAGGCATTTGTAATTAGCTAAGTGATAATTTTATTCAGGCTTGATTGCAAATAGATATAAAGATATAATTGGTTATAATTCTGCAATAACAATGAAAGTTAATGGAGTGTTTATTAATGTTGCCCTAGAAGGAAGCATAAGGTGGATAGAATTATGTCCAAGCACAGAACATTGTTGAAACTAAACTTTAGTTGGTTCC